CTTCCTTCCTTCCTTCCTTTGTCCTTCCTTTCTTGAGACAGGGTCTCCCTGCAGCCCCAGCTGGCCTGGAACTCACAGAGATCTGCCTGCCTCTGCCTCCCAAGTGCTTAAATTGGATCAAAGACGTGCACTACCACGCCTGGCCCCCCCGCTTGTATTCTTTTGCATTCTGATACTCCTGTCATTGAAAGTTTTATTTCATAAAATTCCAAGCAAAGTAAATAAAAAGATCTGTCTGTTAGTCTCCACATCAATAAAACATTTATTTTTCTGTGTTCCATAGATAGTTAGTTTTTATATGTATCAGTACTCTTCAGATACTGCTTTAAGTACATATATTTGTTTTATTTTCAAATGACTTGACTTCTAAAGGTAACGATTACTTCATTCTCCAAAACAAAGGTTGAGTCTGCATGGACTATCAGAAAACTGAGCCCAACCCTCTGCTGGTTTGAGGTATGTTTTTCTACTCATAGTTGTTTAGGCTTTTCAAGTAATTTTTTTTTGATGTTTTAAAAGTGGGAGCTTTATTATACAAGGGTTTTTGTTGTTTGTTTTTGTTTTTGATTCACTCGTTGAAATAGTCAGACGAGGTAGGTATTTTAGAAGTTGGGGAGGAAATCCATCCCCAGGAAGAGTGAGGACATGGTTTGTCAGGGGACATGTCGGGTAGAGCTGTAGCTCTGTTGGTAAGTCTGCATGTTGGCTCAGAGTTCCAAAATGGGAGAAAAACCTAGGTGATAAAGGACCACCAGGGTCCTGCTAAGTGTCTTACCTGTTCTTCTCTGGTTCCTTTCAGTAAGGCTGTGAGTGTTGCTGGTTTTACAGGCAAGGGAACTTAGAATATATAGCTTAAATAACTTATCCAGGGTCCTCCAATTGAATGCAAACCTCTTTAATTTCTTTTTTTTTAATTGTTTTTATTTTGCAGAGGCAAGCATGTGTTTTAGAATGAGCATGTGGAGGTCAAAGGACAGCTTTGTGGAGTCAGTTCTCGCCTTCCACCATTATGTGGGTTCTGGGGATTGAACTCAGGTTGTCAGGCTTGCATCATTGGGCAGCAAGTGCCTTTACCTGCTGAACCATCCCTGCTAATTTCTTTTAGTGTCATAATAATTGTTTTTGTATCTGTTTTCTAAATTTTTGTGCAGGTCTCATAAAAATATCAAAGGATGCCTGCCCTCTTTAAGTTTCCCAGTTCTGAACAAACCGTTGCACATCGAAGTTGTATCATCAGTTCAGATAATGAGTGCTTTAAGTTACAAAATCAAATTATTCTATATACTTTCTTCAGTGAGAAGGCACCATTCAATCAAGAACTAAAGTAGTTACTTCATTGGAAAATCTTACTCCTCCAAGAGTGGTCCACCTACCAATAGCCTCACTAGCCACTTCAGCTGGGAGCTACTTAGAAAGATAGGAATCTTGTCCCCATCCCCTCTCTGCCATGGAATCCCAAATGCCTGTCTGTCCCCATCTAGGCCGCCTCTGGGTTTCTCTGTGGCCACAAATAGTATACAGTTGAGGTTTTAGCTTTGGAAATCACTGTAACCATTAAATGGTGAAAGTAGTTAATGTTTAGAGAATTTTGTTATAGATTTATTAAATCTACACAAAAATTTAGTTCTTTATTTTGAAAATTTTGTTGTTGTTTTTTTTCTTATTCAGACAGGGTCTTCCTATAACGCCAGCTGTCCTGGAACTCACTATGTAGACCAGGCTGGCCTTGAGCTCACAGAGATCTGCCTGCCTCTGCCTCCCACGTGCTGGGATTACAGGCGTGCACCACCATGCCCTGCTGAAAATTTTGGTTTTGAACAACTTAGAATTTCTAGACACATTGAAAGCTAGGTTAAAAGTTTATAAATATTTATAGAGTTTTACTAGAAGTTTTAAAAAGGCGCAATTCTTTTTAGATTTAAAATATTCTTTGTCAAATACTCGGTATACATAATTAGATCTCATAGCATAACAATTTAGTTAGTTGAAAATTTTCCATGTCTTATACAGATATGCAGTGTTCTGGGTAGTAAGTGGTGTTTTGTTTTGTTCCCCAAAGCGCTGTGGATTGAACCTAGGGCCTGATGCATGCGAGGCAAGTACTCTACTGCTGAGCTACATCCCAACCGTAGATCTCATAGCATTAATACTTAACACATGAGTGCAAATTATCTTGCTCACTTTGTTTTAGTTTTTTAAGTTTTAAATAAAATTTACATTTTTTGTACTTTGCTTAGCAACCCCCCGCCCCTAAGCCAGTTTTGTAGAAAATTCCTTTTAGTGTTTTCTGGGAGGATAGTGTTACTAGATAGTCAAAGCTAGTGTCTCACATGTTAAGCAAGTGCTCATCACCAAGCTGCACCCCAGCTCTTGTATCTAGTGTTTTCAGTAAGAATTGCTAATGCTATCATTTTGATACCATTCAATAATAAAAACACTATTGCTCCAGAAATCAGTCACATGAGGTTTTTCTCTTTGATAAGTATAAGCAAATTACTCAAGCAAATGTGATGTACTTTCATGCCCAATATGAAAATAAAAATCAAAGACCGAGCATACTTTACTCAGTCTCTACTGGTGATCTGTGTGGTCTTGAATGGCCCTAAAAGACAGCATGAAGGACACATCATTTCAGAATGCCCTTTGTGAACAGCTGCATTTTGTTAAAGCTGTGTGTTCTAGATTCTTCTTTGTAATTCTTAAGACTTTAAGCTTTCCTGCTACATAAGTGATTTTTAAAAAATATTTTATTATTTTTATTTTATGTGTATACATGTATTGCCTGCATGTAGGTAAGTGCACCCATGTCGTGCAGTGCCTCAAGTGGACAGATGAGGCTGTCAGATCCCTTGGAATTGGAGTTTCAGACAGTTGTTAGCTGCCATGTAGGTGTTGGGATTTGAACCTAGGTCTTTTGCAAGAACAGTCAGTGTTCTTAACTGCTGAGCTATCTCTCCAGCCTCTACATAAGTGATTTTTAAGAAAGATTCGTGGTATGTTGATACAGTGTGAAGAATTACAAGGACTATATAAAATAAGGTGTGTAGAAAGGATCTCATTTCATGTTTTTTATTTCTCTGCTAGTTGACTTTGTGATGATTCAAGTTTATCGTTTTTAATTGACAATCATTCCTTTTCTCGTTGTGTGCTTTAGTTTGTGTAACAGATTTTTATGGAAATGATTGCTTATTGAAATGATTCTTCACAGACTTGGACTGGCATTCATGAAATTGTGGTGTCTTTTGGGAGGCGAGTTTTGTGTTACCCACTACATCGTCATTTCAAGCTGGTGGTGAAAGCCTGCAGGGACACTGTAAGGATACTACAGCTAGGTAAGGTATCTTGTGTGCAGATCGGACAGCCAGAAAGTGGTAAATATTTGCTTTTTTTCCGTATATAAGTTATGAAAATAATCCTCCATGATATATAAATAATAGTTCCTTTATAGAGATACATAATCACATTCACCTTTTCTAAGAGTGGGGAAAGGGAATAGAATACATATAACATTCCAGATCACTTTATATTAAGGGATAGAGTCCATTATTAAGTATTTCTTGGATGCCTGTCATTTTCTAGGCACTATGGTAGGACTGTGGGTACAATTATAAAAGAGACAGAGAAATTCTCTGCTCTAATGAAGCTTATAGCTTTGTCAGAGAGACAGATGATAAATAAGCAAGGAGTTCAATGCAGAGTGATAAGCAGTCTGCTGGGGGAAGCACAGTGATTACTTAGGAGGGGACTTGTCACCTAGACGTGGGATGTCAGGAAAGACTTCCCAAGGAGAAGCACAAGTACCTGAAGACGTTTGACTACTGCTAAATTTAGCCTTGGAAGGCCAATGCCTTCTAGCTTTAAGAATATGGAAAATTCCAGGCTTCAAAACAAATTCCAAAGTGCCCATAACAACATCATTAGAATAAATATGTAATTTCCAAGGTAATGACTTTGAAGGGGGTGACGTCCATTTGTGTGTATTAGTTCTGGCACATTTATTTAAAAGTCACTTTCAGTTCTTTATGATCATTCTTTTATTTTCTCCCAGGGGGGCTTTGTCATTCTTTGCCCTTAAAGTGTTCATGGGAGCCAGGACTTGGGATTTCTGGACCTCAGGATGGGTGGTTTCATTGGCCTAACAAGGAGAGTCAGGTCTCCAGAGTTTATTCCCAGCCCAAGGGATACCTGGCTGTTTGTGACCTCTAGTGTTCTTACCCTGGGGGAGGAGGCATGCTTGAAGGAAGTTCATTTGAAGTAGGTAGTAATTGTAAAAATGAATCATAGTTAACTGAAGATGCTGTATTATCCCTCCAGTTGGCTTAGGCTGTCTGTGTTTTGTTTTGAAGGATGCTGTTATAGGGTAATGAGTTACTGTCATTGAGAAATCTGTCTTCTTTAACTGTGGGAAACAAACTGCCTTTTTTTTTTTTTTTTTTTTGGTATGTTATTTTTTTCCTGCTTTCCATCCAAGATACTTCTTAAATTGCTAAAATTACCTTGAAAAAATCAGTCTACTGTAAATGACTGATTATTGAGCTATACATCACAACTAATTTCTTTTTGTAAGTCGTGCTAGATTATCTGAGCATTAAGCTGAGAGAAAGTGGCTTTTGATTCTTATGTGGTAGCTTCTGGGGGCAGCCAGGAAAACTGTAGCAAGCGCTCATGCGTGTTGGCATACACCCACTCTCATATGAACTACTACTTGTTACTTTTTATTCTGGGAAGTAATCTGGCTCTCTGTATCTTTATTTGAAAAGTAATCAGTTCTGTGATTGCATAACCAAAAATAAATTGGATTGCGTTGACTTATAGTCTAATCAATTATTCAAACAGTTTTAGGAGGTTAGGATTAAAATTGAGACTTAACTTTTCATCGCTATCATTCACAAGAAATAGTCTTATCAGCCTTGTTACGATAGCAGCAGGAAACTTGAAATTACCCTGCAGAAAGTGAGTATCAGCCCTGTCTAAGCCTTGGTGCTGGGCTTTGTGACTGGCCCTGGTTGTACTTGGCTGGTATGGAGCAGAGCGCTGGGTCATCTGGAACTGCTGCCATTGGCTCTGAGGTTTACCAGCACTAGATGAGGGTTGCGACCTGTGCTTGTTCAGGTAGATGGCATAGGAACGCCATAATTGTCACTGAGGAGACTCATTTGTGTGGACACTCCATAATTTGAGTGGAAACAGCACAGTTTGGCATTTGATATTTTCCAAGAATGAATTTATATCTACTTATCATTCAGAACATAGTCCTAGCGTTCACAGTTTTATTGTAAAGGTCAGTGTAGTGCCTCCATAGTTGAAAATAATGAATGACTCTTTCCTCCAAAGAAATACTGATCTCAAATGGATTAAGTTTCAAAACCAGCATTGGAATGCCTCAGAATCTACAGAATATTTCATGATAACTGAGATGGGAGTTTTCAAAAAGTTATGAATTTGCTTTTTGAGACAGGGTCTCCCTGTAGCTCCAGCTGTCCTGGAACTCACTATGTAGACCAGGCTGGCCTCAGTCTCACAGAGGTCCGCCTGCCTCTGCTTCATCTGACTTCACAGCAGTCTTTACAAGGATGCTTTACCAGGCATCAGCTCCTTTCCTTTTCTGCATCTTTCCTTTCCTCCCTCCTGCAGAAGGCTCTCCTTATCTTCCCTGGTGCTATATGTAGAATCGAAACTCCTTTGGGGTGGGAAGCCTGGCCTTGCCCCTTTAAATACTGTATTGGTGCTTAAAAAAGGACTTTGCTTTCTTTAAGAAATAACATGATTACATTGAAAAACTTTGTATAGGTTGGAGAATTTGGAAGGGGAGTGAATGGCAAACTCACATTACAGCAGTAGTAACACGATTTCACATTATTGTTGAAGCGTAGTAGTATAGTTTTGTCAGTAAAGCAATGCTAATAAAAATGTTTTTAAAGGAAAAAATTTTTAATTAAAAAAATTTAAATGTGTTCTGAATCCCCAGAGGCAGTGTTGTTTTGCCCATTGATCCCACTGAAAGTCATGACATTAGGTAAATAATAAATATATAATATAAATAATAAAGAAATAGAGAGTCTAAAATTTTCTCATTAGTCCTAGTTACAAGAGGCGTCTAATTTCAGCACTTAATAGCTTTTACTTTGAACTTATAAAGAGGAAACCTCAGTTTTCCTGGCTTGTTTCTGCTTCAGGATGGGGGGCCAGCACTGAGAAAGAGGACTGTTGGTGGGAGGGTGTCTCACTAGCTTAATGGAGGAATCACATCTCTAATGGGGTGCCTTAGTTTGTTCTTCATTGCTGTGACAAAACACTCTGACCACTACCAACTTGGGAAGGAAAGGGTTTATTTATCTTACATCTCCTGGGTCACAGTTCATCAGGGAGCCCGAGGTAGGAACTCAGGGCAGGAACCTGGAGGCAGGAACTGGAACACAGGCCATGGAGGAACACTGCTTACTGGCTTGCTCTCCTGGCCCCTGCTCAGCCTGCTTTCTTATGCAACACAGGCCCACCTGCCCAGGGGTGGCACCACCCACAGTGGGCTGAGGCCTCCCACATCACTTATCAAGAAGATGCCCTTCAGACATGGCCACAGGCCAGTCCAATAGAGGCAATTCCCCAATTGAGGCTCCCTCAACCCAGGTGTGTCAAGTTGACACTAAAGCTATGCAGCACCTGGGGTAAATCACCATACTGACTTTTTGCTGTCATGGGAAGGACTAGATGTCTCCACAACATACCCACTGCTTGGCTACCACAGGTAGCTTCCTGCTTCCTGGTGGGGCCAGGTACAATCCCAACTTCTAAAGTGAGGAGGCTGAACTCTCCGAGGGACTCCTTCAAGTAGGCTTTGGGTACCCATTTTGTCTTCTGAGTATCCCTGGAAATAGAAAGTGTCTGTCCTAAGATGCTAGTGTCATCATCACAGGCAGCTGCCAGGCATCAGACACTCTGTGCTCTGGGCTCAGTTCTTTTGATGCCTTCTTCTCTCCTTTCACTTCTAGAGCCATCTGGAAAAGCAGGAATCACTGTCCCCATATGTACAGAGAGATGATGGTCTCAAAGAAGATAAGTGAGCAGCTGGGGTAGATGACAGAGCCTGGCCTGGATTCCAGGTCTCTCTAGCCCAAAGCCCGTGCCCTCTTGTCTGTTGGCATCATTGTAAATGAAATCTAGCATTAGCCTCAAAGTAAGCCAACACCATGAGAAAACCAGTGTTGTTGCTGTGAGGGGTTGTATGTTGGCAATGCAGAGTTGATCACTACCACCAAAGCAGTGTATGTAGGATTCATGATGCTGTCCTGTTGTGTTCTGTGATTTCCGTTATAAAAAGATGTTGTTTGTACTTGGACTTTTATCTCTCTAAGCCTGGACTCTTAACCACAATACTGTGTTTCACATTTAAATTTAGCCACCAATTTGTGGAACGCATTTGTATTTGGATAATTAAGAACTTTTGTGTGTGTCCAGCAACATAAAAAACTGGGGCTTAGAGGAGTTGGGAATGTATCTGCAGATGTAGCTCAGTGAGGGTACTTGCTGTGCGTGTGCAAGACCCTGGTTTCTATTTCCAACACCCCAGAAAAGAGATAAGAAAATGATATTTTTGTTGGTTCTGTTATATTTTTTAAGGTGAATAAAACCCTACCCTTCTTTAGTAAGTACTTGAAGTCAGATGAATGTTGGGTGCAGGTAGCTCAAGAAACTGCCTTCAGGACTTCAAAGCCCATTTTATTTCAGATGATTAGCATCCCTTATCAGTTGTGAGCTGAGCTCAATAATAATAAACTCTTCAGAAATTACTGCTTTACTAACTTTTTCTGTAGATGTTCTAACATGATCAGCAGGAAGAAGAGACATGCCAGGGTACTAAGCACAGGGCTGATGGCTGATGTGGCTTTTCTTTTGAAAAGTAGATGCCTAAAAATAGAGGCATATGTGGCATATGTATTATATGAACTATGAATTCTGATAAAACTTCAAAAGTGAAATTTTTTTAATGCTTAAATTCTATTTATTCCAGAGTCAATTTTGGAAATGCTTTTTTTTTTGTATGTATATATTTGTATGGTTTGCGTGCATATGTGTGTATTCTCATGTTCATGGAGCATATGTTTGTGGGGGGGTGCATGTACATGTGTGTGCACATGGCATGTGAAGACCCGAAGTTGACACTGGATATCTTCCTTGATCACTCTTCACTTTATTTATTGAGGCAGAGCCTCTCAAGCCAGAGCTCACTGATCTGGCTAGTCTATCCAGACAGCAGTCTATAGGGATCCCCTATCTCTGCCTCCCTAGTGCTGGGGTTAACAGATAGCTTCCACATCTACCTGACTTTTCCCTG